GCTGCCGGCCCCGACTGCCGCCAGGGTTTCGGGCTTGTTGCAGCGTGTAGGAGGTCACCCGCGCAGCGCGGTGGCAGAGGTGGAGAGCGTGAGAAATGACAAACATCAAAAACGGGCAAACGCTACGACCGGGTCCTGTCAGTCAGGGATGAGCTCTCAAGCGTGCATTTAAAGTCCATGACAATTTTTCTAAATTTTTAGTCTTTCTCTTTTTTGTATTTCAGCAGTGGCAGAGGTGGAGAGCGTGAGAAATGACAAACATCAAAAACGGGCAAACGCTACGACCGGGTCCTGTCAGTCAGGGATGAGCTCTCAAGCGTGCATTTAAAGTCCATGACAATTTTTCTAAATTTTTAGTCTTTCTCTTTTTTGTATTTCATATTGAACCTGCTTTTGATACCGTTTTATAATCAATGAGTTTATAATTAATTAATTTGCCAGTGTGCATGTTAAAAAATATTCATGGCAAAAAATGATCTGTTCGCGGAGAGCCCTACAGCTGCGCCCCTGCCATCCTGGGACAGCCTGCAACGCGTAATTTTAACCCATTCCTCTTTCTGTGCTTTCTCTTTGGATTTAGCCCCAAGTCGTTTGTATTGTAAACAGCACTGTAAATTTTGAGAGCTTTTAGTCATCTTTCCTTTATAACTTGCATCTATTTTATAATATAGCTACCTCCTGTGATTACAGTATTAAACTTTCAAACTCCGGAATTTCTACGATACTTTTAGCTGTGCATCTTCCTCAGATATCCATGAACCCTTCAGGTGTCATTAAAGTAACAATTAATTTCTTGCCCCATTGTGGCAAGGAATAGCTGAAAAACAGGATATTAATGTAGGTACAAGGTTAAAAGACAGATGACAACAACAACAACAAAGTGTAAAATGTATTATTATTTAAAAATCATAATTTACAGATTTTCTCATGACTTAGGTGTTTTGGAAGAATTATGATAATAATAGTTAAAGCTACTTTATTTTGCTCCCTTTCCCTGCTTGCTTCCCCTCTCACACATACTGAAATTCTCTGCCACAGGGAAATGAGCAGAGCTCCTTCTAAAGTCACATACAATGAGAGAGGAATTGGTGTTGCCAAGAACTGGACAAGGGCCAGAAATGAGATACTTCTTCCCCTTGGGTACTGGATAAAAGCGTGAGACCTTTCAGACTCTTTGCCTCACAGGAAAATGAGAAAACGGGGGTAAACAGTTTGTCTACTCTTGCCTAAAAATGCATCTAACTGTGCGTAGGGCTTCAGTCTGGCACTAACCATTTTAAGTAATAAAGGGTTTTACAAGGGAACTGAAAATTACTTTTTCGCACTGAAACTAGAATTATCCTATATATTCATGTTCTGTAGCCTTCACGTCCAAACAATGACCTACTAGACCAGATTCTGTGCTGCTGTGCGCTCTCGAGCTCTTGAACAGATAGTATAAAGAATTTGTCAAAGTAATTTGACATTTCTCTAGCGTTTTTCACCTTCACCTATGATGCCGCTGCTTCCTGCAGATGCCGGCAGTACCTCTTTCCCATCACGCTGCATTCAATGATTACGTTAAGCTGGAACTTTCAGTTCTGGTCCTAACTTCTCTCCCTCCAATTATTGCTTCTCTGGTGACTTCACAAAGTTTCAGTTAGTTTTAGTGAGGCAGAACTATGATTTGGACTGAAAACTAACCACATTTTTAATGTAGTAGACACAACTGAATTACAACTTTCACTCTTTACTGATATGGCTGAATAACTGAAAGTTGGGAGGCTCCAGTTTTGGATACTCGTGTGTTAGAGCTAGCTGGAGTTTTCTCTAGGCTTTTTTATCCTCATGTAGAGGAGCATTCCAAAACAGAAGAAAAAATACTTTCCTATATGTGTCGATCATTTCTCCGTAAGTTTGCCTGTCTTTTCAGAACACTGTTATAACTCCACATAAAGTCTGTTTTTTTAAATCAGATTTTATCAATAGGGTTTGTTTAATGACCAGAAGTTCTCAGTGCAGCATTTACGCACCTGCTCTGAAAGATAACACCTACAATGGAACCGGCTTTTCTGCCAGTTACTTCCGTATGTCTGTCAATGCCTTTCATGTTAAATACTCGGGCCAAGTGTTTAGCTGAAGAATGAAAACCAAATGGTAGGAGAAATATTATGAACCATCACATTTGCAATTCCAGTGACAATGTGTAATCAAATTGTTTTTATGCCAGAATGTCTCTATATAACAAAAAATAAGATACAGAGCTAGTGTTATTACTCACTGAACTAGTCCATGGTGGGGTCTTGTGAGCATTTGATGGTTTGACTTTTATGATTAGCCCAGTTAAAGGATGGTGTTACTTAACATACTCAAAATCACTGCCATGTTGGTTAAAATGATAGACAGAACGAGCAAGAACTATGACAATACCATCAGACTGCGGCAAGTGGTTGGAGTATGGTATCAAGTGTGAGTCACTGGTCTGTAAAAACAAAACCTTGTCAATTATGTGAGACATGTTTGTACTTGTTTGTCATTTTGCAGAAGAAGTTGCTATCTTTTTAAATCTAGTGTGCGGAAAAAAAAATTATTCCATGTTCTGTCAACATAAAAATTGACTCTTCAGATGAACAAACAGGTGAGAGCTAAAAAGCTAAGTTCTTACAGAATTCGCATCACAACAAAACGGATCCACATTACAAGAAAAGAAAGCAGCTGTGAGAGGAACAGAAAAGACAGCTGTGTGACTAGGACTCTGCATTGGAGTTGGTATATGTGTTCAGACCCTTCTTCTCCTATAGACTTCTAGTATGACTTTGGAAAATTCAATTTCCTCTGCAAAATGGAAAAATAATTTTGTTATCTTGTCTACAGAAAATATAAATTTCGGACATGAATTGTCTCTCGCTATAAGTATATATTAATTATTCACCAGAAGATTTGTTATTCTGCAAAGTGAAGTATGTTCTTCTCATAGTGGCTTCACCAAAAGTAGTTGGAGATTCGCAGGGTGAAATGGTAGTATAAAGTTCTTAAAGTAAATTCAAATAAAGGACTAGAAATTAGATGCTACAGTGCCTAACATTGAGACAGCTGACTGGTGCGAAACCCGAAAGTGGGTGTCTAGCCTCTCTTTACTGTGAGGGAGGCTTTCACCACAGCAGAATGGGATGAAATACTAAAACTAAAGAAATGATGTCATTTTTTGAATTCCTCTTTTGGGATTTACATACCTCAAGGATTCAAGGAAATGCTGCTTGGGATTCTGTGGGTAGCTGTACACAAGTCTTCCAAAGAATTAAATCAGTTTTACTTTTAAAACACTAATTGGTGGGGGAAACAAGGCAGAGAGATCATGCAGACGTGTTATTGCAGCTTACAGCATACAGCTGAGGGATGGTCTCTACCCTGACAACTGTTTCTGCCTTTTACTTGATGACTGTTTAATTTAAACTTTGTAAAAAAGTCCAGCACTCCCTGCTTTGGGTGTACCCTCATCAGTCAGGCTCTCTGCGGACTGGTGGATCTTTGGTTCATTTCTATACACGGTAACTTATCTATTCTCAAGTTCGTCTTCAACAGAACGGAGAGAAAACGTCCCTTATAAACTAGGCTGAACCACAGCAAATTAACCACAAACATCCACAACTAATCATTGCCTAGCAGGAGCTGCTCTTCAGCTAAGTACTTGAGTTGCCTTGGAATTCAGTAGACCTATCTAAAAGTGAAGCAAAGACAGGACACTCCTGTGAGTAGTGAGCTCACCAGGGAGTTTTCACATTTGTTTCTGGCAAGTCACAGACACATCAATGTGTTTTTCTGCCCTCTAGCATTCAGGGATCCAACGAATCTGATGCATTGGCAGTGACCAAGGTTATAGTAAGGTATTACTGACTGGCTATGTGCTGGAAAAATTCACAGAGTAATGGAGCAAATTAAAAGAATTCTAATGAGCTACAAAAGAGATCACAGACTCCAGCTAAATCAGAAATACAAAGATTGTTTGTGATATGTACAAGCGTGTTAAAACCTAAGACCAAATAGTTAGTTGCTAGGTTAAAAGAAAAGCTACTGGAGTCAAGCAGGCCGGTTTTGTGTAGCTGGATGACAAAACTGATATGTTAACCAGGAAACACAGTATCACAAGGACATTGGGAAAGAAACGTCTCCCTCAAGTACCTGTAGGACTGCACCTGTAAGGACACAGCTCAGTACACTCTGACCAAAGCACTCCCTAGGAGCTGGATGACTTATTGACCTCTGCTCCTGAGTCTTGCAACCGCTTGCTTGTCACTGAAGCAGATCTGCAAAAGGTGGCAACAATGGAAATTCTTACGTAGCTACATTTAAGCGCAGACAGCACCTAAACTGCGATAACAGTTTAGTGTCAGCTACATGCAGTCCCGCAGCAACAAGATGCTAAATGACTAAAATGACTTTTAAGGGGACTTTAGGAAAACAACCGTACGGTTACAAGTACTGTGAAGTTACTTGACAGAACTGCAGAAGAGAGTCAAAAAGTTAGCGCGGATTTACATTTTATGACAAACAACAAAGATCAGTTCATATATTTCATGTTAAGAAAAACAAGTGTACAAAAAGTGAAAACAATTCATACTTAACAGAATAGGTTGATCTTGTCAGTCACTTAGTTTCACAGCTGTTTTCTTAGAATGTTTAAGTGTAACTGGAAAGAAACGTATGCTAGCAATAATCTGCTATAATCTTGTATCAGTCTGCTTCTATCATGGCACAGCACTACATCTTTTGCTCGGTAGACAATTCATATATCGGCTAAAAACAATGCTGCTTTGAATTACCTGTGTAGATTCACACAAATACACGTTCTGGTTGAGGAATGTGGGGAATAGGCTATAGTCAAAGAAACTTTTTCTTTGGGGCTCATCCAGCCTGAAATAAAGTGTAGATCGATTTGTGAGCTGGATCTAGCAATAGGCTCGGATGAGCTGCTACAGCCTCCTGTCTGTTCCTTAGGAGACACTAGCAACTTAAGTGTCTCATGCTCCCTAAAAAAGCCTCTCCCTTAGGACTTGAACTACGGCTACCGCATTGCTATGGGGCTAGGGCTCAAAGCATCTACCTTCTGTGAATGCTCCTTGATACAGCTGCATGGGAAGCTGGAGGAGCAGGCATGGAGGTGCAGAGGAGAAAGGTGCCCCAAAACCAGGATACAGCCAATGTGGCTGACCAGGTTGAATCACCCTGAGATAAACCAGTGACGAATCCAATAATGAAGGACAAACAAGGCATTAAAAGTATGATCTATGTAAAAATTTGTCAACCTCAAAGTGTCAATAGGACATGGGTTTTATAAATGCAAAGGGAAGAGGCAGAAAACCCCAAGCTTTTACACACTCCATCTTTCCACCAACTTAAAGTTTCAGGTGAGGCCCTCAGAAGAAGGTGGTGCAAGCTCTCACATACATAAACAAACATCCCCTCACACTTTCTGAACACAGGCAAATTTAGCCTAAGTGTGGGAAAGTGAAATTCCACCAAAATCAAGCTATTTGACCAACACTTCTGTTATTCTGCCACTTCTAATCATTAGAGTCTGGATTAAATTAGTCATTGGTGTAATTTACTTTCTAAAACAGAGGAAGTTGATCTGCATGCATATTCTCTAAATAGATGACCTGATCTTAAATCACTAAGGCGTGTTCTGAAATAGACCGAGTTAAAATTCTTCTCCAAGTTTCATCCATGCAAGGCCTCTAGAGTCACAGGTTTGCAATACGCATAACTAAGAGCAGAACTGAACCATCATGACCTTGGCGTATGTTTACATGGGGTTTAGTCTTTTGGATCTGACTCACCATCATAACAAGTTTTGTATACCTTAAATAACTGAGTTTCAGAACACGAAATACAGACATCAGCTCTTGACCTGTTTCAGGGTGGTCACTCCTGCTCAAACTCAGTGGTTTGCCATTTAAAGAGTCTGGAATGAACAACATTCATTTTATTCTGAAACTCCATTCCTTAACGTTTCACTTCTCTCCAGAGAAAGCCGCAGAAGATCCTTCCTAATATCAGGATGATCTTCCAGCTCGTCATATAATGATCGAACAATGTCCAGTTTCCTGTAGTCCATTGGTTTGACCAGACTGCGAACAACCTGGAGGCATCTCTCTTTCAGGGTGAACACTGAGGTTTTTAAAAAAAAAAAAAAAGAGAGAGAGAGAGAGAGAGAGAGAGAGTTCACTGACTGTTACCTGAAACACTGGGGCACAGACGTCACTTCTTCTAGTACAGGAATAGAGAAAATAAAGCGTAGCAGAGCTATTCACATCACACTAGGGTTATCAGAAAGAGAGGAAAAGAATGTTCTATTCTCTACCATAAGACATTCAACAAAACCCATCAGAATGACAAGAAATCTTAAAAATGAAAGATCTATCCATAGCTCTATTGAAAAGAAAGCAGTCATATAGTTCTAGAAGTCCTCATGATCTCTTCCAATTTTACAGACAGATTTTATTAAGTATTTGAATACCTGATTCATCATCAGATCCTTGCACTGAAGTGGGAAAAGATCTTAATTCATCGGTTTCCACAACAGGTAATTCCTTATTGCTTTACCTGGCAGTGTGATGTCTGCTTTATTCACATTGGGAGCAGCGATAAACAGCTCCTTCTGATTGACAAGAAGCCCATCATTTGTCCCCGCGTCCCTGAACAGCCAAAGGTGACCTATAGCAGAATGAACAAGAAATGCAGTATTTAATGCACTTTCTAACTAACAGTTTTGAGAGACTCCCTTAAGAATCTGATTTGCTGCTAAGCAATTAATTCAGCCACTCCCGCAGTAGCTCTGATTGCCTGGCTGACCAAGGGGATGTCACCGAGGAGGTGGCTGGACAGAAGGACAGCGCAGTGGCCTTTTAATCTGCAGAGCCCTGCTAGCATGCAAACGACAGAAGACACATCTGCGTTGCAGGTGGTCTCTTGCACCTGCGGGACTGCCAACACCTTTATACCAGCTGCGGGGGATACTCCACGTCCCAGAACACGTGTCCCGGCACACCTGCGAGTGCCAGCTGTAGCCCGCTCTTGGCGCAAGCACCTGCGACCCGAACGTGTGTGGCCGGGCCTCGCTCTGGACCGGG